CAAACATCTTTGTGAATCCGACGCCAAATGGTCCACCAGGTGCATGCGATTGTTGAATGTAGCAAGACACACACAGCATTGGCCGTTTGGCGCCGCCCACACTCGTGCGAGCGCTGCCTGCTGTCTATGCTGTCGAGCAATATGCGCACGCCATGACGATTTCTTGCGAAAGCTGGTTTGACACCACGGACACATGTGCTCATCACTTGTGGCGGGGACGGTCGGATCTGGGGGGGGATCGACAAGCAACCCGTTGACGTCGGTATACGAACGCTCGGGGACGCCGATCGGTCGGACCGTCTGAAATAAACGGGATCCCGCGTCCTCGGCTGTCGTAGCTCGACGATGGGCCTGCGCAGAGGCCTTCAGGGCTGTCCGAATGATATACTTCCATCCTGAGAGACCCCGTCGTACAAGATTTTCCCATGGACCAAAATCCTCACTGGGCGGCGGCAGCTCGGCACAGACGACAGCAGTATCACGAAGCCATTCGCAATCGTCCAGCACGAGGCCGATCCACGACCTGGCGCGCGTGCCGCAATGTTCTCGCGCTGCCCATTCAGCACCCAGCAGTGCAAATGCAAGCCTCTGCCCGCTGTGCAACGATGAGCCGAGTAGTCTCAACCTGGCTGCTCGACGTAGCGCAGACGGCTCAGGACGACCTAAGATGGCTCGAACCTGTGCGCCGGACACACACGAGTCTGTCTCAACGAAACGGACCCTGGCTGCTGCACGAAAAACCTTCATAGTTTCGGAAACGGCCAACTTGGCCTCGGCGGCCGTGAACGCGGCCCACGCTCCTGCATTGTACAACCGTCCTGACGTGACCAAACTGTCGGCAAGAGCAAGACACGTGGGGTCCAGAATGTCCCTGGAAGTAAACACTTTGGCCCTGAGTACCCTAAGTGACGCCACCGTAGTATGTGACCTATACCGTACTTCGGCAGCCATACCCCCCAGTGAGTCTATGACCGAACCCAAGTGCAGATAGTTTTTAACCACTGGTATCCGTATCCTCCCAAGAAGCCGTGCATCCGCCGTCGCATGACCACCGCACTCGCGCCATGCATACTGCCTTGCTTTCTTGCCCCCACGACCCCGCATTGACAGTAGTACGATCGTTTTTGCAACACCAATGTTAAGCATATGCCCGCGGCTGGCAAACACATCGGCAACCGCTTCCACAGCTCGACACCTGGCGGGATACAGCTCGTCTGCGGACATGATCATCATGATAGTACCATCGTAGGCAAACGCTATGTCTGACAATACTTCAGAGGTATCCGCTTCCTGCCCGCGTAGTATGCTGCATATGCTGCTGCAGCCGTGCGCTGGTAGATGGATTGCAGGACCCTCGGCATCCAGTTGTCGTCGCACGTCGCCCATACAGTCCCCCATCATAATCTCGTAAAGTACATCTGCTAAAGGCAGCCCAGGGAATACTGACCGCTGAGGCAAGGATACCTGTTGCGAGCCTCCACATACAAACCACGGCGTACGATAGCACTGTGCCACCTGCGCTGCTGTGTGTGCTGGTAACGTACCTTTGCCAACGTACTCATCAATGAGCGGTGCGCTCTCGTGTAATCTTCGGGCGAGTTCATGCGTGGCATCTGGTGGCAACCCTGCTGCACGCACAATGCAAGCAATAGAATCATCGTCAAGCGGCGAGCTGAGCAGGGCCCCTCTCAGGGTCCGGTAGAAAGCCTGCACCACATCAAGAATAACGCTCCAAACGAACGTTTCTGTGCAGCTGCCACTGACTGTGCTAACCTGCATATAAGCGACACCTGCGCGGTTCCACGTCCAGGAGTGCCTCCAAACTGTGTGGGGCCGGCTGCCTCTAATAAGGTAGGTAACAATCTATCTCGCAGACACCTCCGAGACGCCTTGCCAATCTGGGACGACACCAAGATCGACCGAGAACTTACGCACTGGCTGGGCTCGGAGGTAGCTGATTTGAGTAGGTCCCGATAGTACCCACCTTTCCACTGCAGGGGTTCCACCAAAGTAACGGAACACTTCAACTGTAGTGGGTAGTATAGGGCAGCCAGGTCTGTACCAAATTCGTGTACCACCCCCCCCGTGATTCCGTCACAACCAGGAGCTGCGCGTTTGGATTGGCGACAGGCTAAGTGAAACTCTGACATCGAAGGCAGAGTGGACAGGGGGGCGGCTTCGGAGGACATCCGATCGTACGCAACCCTGCCGAAGTGCCCTTGCAGGACATTGACCTCCTGTAGGTCAAAAGTGGCCGCGAGCTCCAATGATCCAAAATCCTGTTGCCAGCGTCGTGCCGCCGCCCTGGCCGAGGTCACGGGTGTGCCATGCATGTCTCTAAGTATAGGTAGACCGCGATGCATGCGTTCCCGTTTGGATCCTGCTCCAACCCGTCGCAGTGCCGCAAACGCGGCTGCAAACTGTTTGTGCGAGCACGCGTCCTGAATGTCTAGTACTATCGTGTCATAGTGTACAGCTGCGTCCACACTCACAGACTTGTTGATGACGAACGCAGTGGCACGGAGAAACACGTGCGTGAAGGCCCACAGTAGCCCTTGCCATTTCCAGAACAACGGGATAAGGCCCTGGAGTACGTACAAATCACGTGGGAGCCCCATCAATGGCATGCCGTGACATACAAGGCTGAAGCCTTGCGGTGTAGTTGGCATACGACATAGTCGCCACAGCGACGACAGATGGTTCGATAGAAATGGCGGGAGTACTGTACGACCCTTAGCATCCTGCAAAGGACTGGTGAAATGCATAGCTGACTCCAACACAGACTGTCCTGCACTGACTACAGCATTGCACGCGGCATGTCGGAGAGCATGCGAGGGGCACTCACGTACTGACCACTGCCACTCACACCTCCTATAGTTGAGCCGCTCCTCCACCTCCTTCCCGCCAGCAGCCCATGCACTGAACGCCGTGGCGAGCAGGGGCATGTTTAGCCTCTGTCGAAGCCAACGCAGGGCTTTACGACCATCTGCTCGATGATCCATCATCGTCAACGATCTTTGTGAAACCCGAGACTGTCGAGGCAGCCGTCCCTGAGCTGACTGCTGGACAGGAAAACACTTTTTAACTGCTCGACTCACCTCTGCATTTAGCTGATGAGCGTGGTCATCTGGGTGACATCCGAATCTGGGCTGTGGGATCTGCCGTAGTTCCTGAACGAACATCTGGGCACGCTCGGGGTCCCGAAACTTGGCGGGGTCGTGTGGGATTTTGGTGCTCGACTGGGCCTCTGGACCCTCTGCCTCGGCAGTGTGCCACACCTGCTGTAACCACAAAATGGTCATCTGCCCTCATAGACAGATCGACCGACGGATCGACCCCTTGACGAGAGACGACGTTGAGAGAGGCTTGATGCACAGTGATGTAGTCTATCCCCCTGCGAGGGTCCTGAGGCGACGCGCCCGGTGGCAGCCATGTGCCATGTATCCCCGAGAAGGGCTGCACGAACGTCGACGCAGCAACATGCTCAGAGTGCATCAGAAATTCGTGAAACAACGCGCCCGTGTTGTTCTCTGGTTCTGCACCTATAGGCCCGACGTACTCCGACTGTACCGAGCCCACCGTTGCATTGGCATCCACAAGACAATGCAGTTGCTCAGGATTTGGCCGATCACGCACAATACGCTGCAACCGAGCCCATCATTCAACAACACTCGAAAATCCCGCACTCGAGCGTGCATGTGGTGCATGTGCTACAAGTATGTCTATCCGCAAGTGTGGCGCACGTACACGTACGGCTGCAAGTAGATGTCGAGCGTCATGCGACAGCACACGTACATGCCTGCGTTCAAGCGTGCACCCTGGCATGTACTGCATAACTGTGTTGATCCATAGGGCTACCCCATATGAGCCTGAGGGCTCTGCAGACGACGTGATTACAAGGTAGTCCTGCGCACTACGCCACGTGCTGTGTCTGAGACGCGTTTCAAGTGTACCCACACATAGATAAGCACACAATGAGAACTGATACGCCAGCGACAGCATCCGACCAGGTATGTCAATCCCCCCAGCGTCGCGGTAAGCACATCGTAATCGTGTACATCCTTGCCTGCTGGGTCGTTTCCTCGGTCAAAGGGTGAGGACGTTGGCTACCGCAAACCTTAGGGGACAGGCTCGAGCAACGGGGTCGTCAGCACGCCCACCTTCAGGGACTGCCGTAGAGGGCGGAACGGGAGGGGCCAAGGGAGTCACAAGGGCCTCAAGAGGGGACACCTCGGGGCCAGCGATGCTCTCCAGGCTCGCGGGGGACACCCGCGGAAACTCCCGCGCGCCGTTGTTGGGGGGGGCGGGGGGGGGGGGGGGGGGGGGAGGGGGGGTGGGGGAGGGGAGGGGAGAGGGCGGGGGGGGGTCGAACATTCACCCGCCTGGGATGGGGGGAGGGGGGGGGTTCTGCAAGGCCCCCCCTCCCCCTCCTTTTGTGTATTCAGGGACATCCACTGGCGCGCTTTCGGCAATGTCCGCGGCCGTGTGGAGTTTGGTTGCGCTCCCTACGCAGTATAGGATGGGGCTCAGCTTGCGGCCCTCTGGCGTTCCGACATTCGGCTTGAATCTGCGGGAGCGCTGGCCGTGGGCCACTACTGTGACAGCGGCGCGGACCAGCATTGCCTCCAGCTGCAGCCACGCTTCCCTTCCTATTCCAGCCTTGTGGCGAACCGCTACGAGGGCTTCGCGGCAGTCCAGGGAATCGAAGGCGCTTGGGCTTCATCTGCGAAGAGGTCCATGAAGGGCCGCCCCTGGCCCTCACGGGTGGAGTGGCATTCGAGGTCCAAGAGACCCGACACCAAACATTATCCTCCCGACTCCTGCTCGGCCGGCAACGCTTGCCAGAGGGCTGCTAGGTGCCGCTGTAACCAGAGCTCCTCGAGCACCCACCCCTCCGCGGAGCTTAGTGCGAGCGCCCGATAGCCCTCGTAGTCTTGGCGATTCCGCCCCTCTGGCCGAATGGTAATTATCCTGCTCCAGCTATGGGTCGGTCGCCGTTCCTAGGCGGAGCGCCAAGGACATCATACTGAGCAGGGCCTGGGCCATGGCAGGGTGGCCGCATAGGACCGACGCGCACGGCCAACCCCGGCAGTGCGACCCCACGCGGATTTGCTGGAGCCCCGCTTGTATCTCCTCCAGGGTGTGTGCATCCATCACCGCCCAGCGCTGCAGGTCGTCAACGGCCTCGGTGCGGATGCTGTCCACCTCCCTCGTGAGCTCGCCGCGGTACTCTGGGTCCCACTCTCCTGCCCACGGCGGCCAGTCTCTCCGGAGGATGCACCTTGCGGCGCCTTCTAGGACTGCTGTGGGCTCGACGAGCTGGGCAGGGCACTCTGGGTCATTCATGATGGTCGGTAGACCGGCAGGCGTACTCGAGGCGAGCCGTCTGGGCGCTTTTCCCGCAGCCCGGGGGGTGGTCGCCTGAGCTCGGCCTTGGGCCTGCCGCCGAGCATCCGCGCGCGCTGCTCGAAGCGCCCCGCGGGCCGCGCAGACGGCAGCCACAGCCTCCGGACATTCGGGGCTGGCTTCGCGGCGCCGCACCGCCGCGGCGATGTCGCGCAGCGCGCTCGCCTCTGCGCGAGACGCCCCGTCGCTCCGCCCCCCGCCCCCCTGCCTGCGCGCCATGCGGACCAAGCCCGCCCCCGACCCAGTCGTGGCCGGCCCGAGGCGCCGCGCCCAGGCCGCCGCTGCCAGCGCTCTCTCGCCGCTGTCCTTTGATGCACTTCGCCGCAAGTCGCATTGCAGCCAGGGCTCGACCTCCGAGTGCAGAACGCGGAAGAGATCACCGCTGCATCCGCAGAGGGCCTCGTGCCAAGCAAGCACGCCCCCTTCAAATTGGAGCTCCACGGGGGGCGCCTGGCAACCTTGCCCGGCGGACGGATCAGGCCAGGCAACTGGGTGGCGGTCCAGGTCCGTGCTGTCCAAGACTTCGCGCCCCCTACCGCGCGCGCCCCCCCGGGCGCCCCCGGCTCTTGCAACGCGCGCCATCATGGGCTCGGACTCCCCAGACCGCGCCCAGCCGGCGCCCTGCCGCGCGGGTGGCGACGCCCAGCGGAATGCTCTCGACCATGTCCCCGGCGGTTAGCAGGCTGCGGACTGATGGGTCCGTGTCCGTGGAAGGGTTCAAGTCCCCAGCCAGGCGCTCGGCCCCGCCCCTGTTCTTCGCGACGGCAGCGGCCTTGTCGTATCCGGCAAAGATGGTGCGCGGGAGCGCCTTCCGCATCTCCTCATTGGCGCCGCGTTTCCGGGGATGCACGCTGAACCCTCCCCAATAATTTGTCGGCCCAACCTGAGCCCAACATGTCGCCCACGAGGTGGGCAACGATGGCGCGTGCAGAACCGCGTCTGCCCCGTCGTCGCGGGCGAACAAGGTCACTGCGCCATGCTCGGGCACCCGCGGCCCGTGCATTTTGAGCGGGAACCCCGGCAGCTCCGTGGCAGGATCCTCCGCCATTGGGCACCTGCAGGAGATCCCGAAGAACCAGTTGGCCCCGCAGCCGCTCATTGGGCCACCGATGTCGGCCCAGCGTTCTCGGAGGAGGACCCCCCCCTGAACGTCGGCCCCGCCGCCGAGGCCGAAGTTGATCATCCCTCCGACGCTTGCAACTGCCAGCGGCCGTGCGAGGCGCCCCTTCCCCGGCTGCCGCTGCGGCTTCGCCCCCGGCTGCCCCTGCAGCGCCTGCGCCGCTCGTTGGAGCCTGCGGCCCGCCGCCAACGCGGCAGGCAAGTGCACCGCCGCCTCGCGCCGGCCCCATTCTGAAGCCCTCCTGAGCAGGGGCCCAAAATACACCCAGACTTGCCGCACGAGCTCCTCGCTGAGGCACAGGCCTGCCATGGCTGCCTCGAGCGCCCCTGCACTTCCTCCCGCCGTTTCCTTCTCTATTTGCCTCAGGGCAACCTCCGCGGCCCCAAGGCACTCGGCTGTCATGCCAGGGGGGCGCGCGGAGGTCAGCGCCGCTGCTGCCCCCCCCGATGGAAACCCCACCTGCCGAGAGCGCGCGAGCGCCTTCTGCGACCGCGCCCCAGGCCGCACTCGCACCGGATTGGAAGCGGTTTCTGCAAAGAACCTCGAGGCGTTGGTGGACTCCGCGCCGAAGTGTTGCTCCAGCAGTCGCTGTGCCTGGGCGGCCGCGGTGACCGCGCCCGTCCCAAGCTGGAGCGCCGCGCTGCCATCCGGCCTGATGGAGATGATCGTGCCGGTGTGCAATAGCAAGATCCACTGGGTTGACGTGCTCTTGGGGGCGTTCTTTACCCCAACGGCTTCATCCAATACGTCCCACACCCCCGAGAGTCCTAGGCCATTGAAGACCTCCGCCGCCCCAAAGACTAAGATGCTGTCCTTGCGGTCCTGCTCCCACCCGGCGCGCTCCGCCAGCTCAGTGCGAAGGCGGCCCTGCGCCACCTTGGACGGGTCAGCCTGCTTCCCTGTCTTGCGGCCATGGGCTGTATTGCCAACCTCGTATGGGTAGTGGGAGCGGCGCAGCGTGTCCAGAATGATCGTTTCCCTCTGGAAGCCTCCGCCGTCTAGTCGCACCCTCCCGTCGTGGCTGCGATACCTATTGAGGGTAACGCCAGCTTCCCGAATCTTGCCATACGTGGTGTCTTAGGTGCACTTCGGTGTCAGATGGGCATTTCCCTGGGGCGGCCCCGGCTTCGCTGGATCGTTCACGTACGTATCGACGTAGATGCCAGCGATGGCGAGCGCTTCGAACCACTCCCAGGTATGGTCTTCCACCGGGCAGTCCAAGGTGGTCGACTCGAAGCACAGCTCATTGGCGGTCTGGGGCGCCGTCGGTTGCCAGTTCGGCGCCGTGGTGAGCGCAAGACACTGTGCGGGCGTTTTGGCTGGCTTCTGCTCCCGCAGACGGCCTCACATGCGGTTGGACATGGCCATCATGCCGCTGTCGCGCGGCCCCAAGGCGAGGGACGGCGCTGGCAGTGCCGTGGCTGCAGCGGCCGGCGCCTGGCCGCAGCTGGGGCCAAGGCCTTCGACGGCAGCATCTTTCTGCGGCCCCAAGCGTTCGTGGGTCAACGTTTTGCTGTGCGTCGCCGACGGGCGCGGTGGGGACATCGTTGCTGGACTCGGACCCCTCGCTGGCACCCCGCTCATCGCCGCTTGGCTGCAGGAGGCGCCCCGGCTCGGTCTCTCCCGCGGGCGCCTCGCATCCCGTTGCAGACCCTGCACCGCGGGGGCTCTGCATCCCGTCGTCCGTCACCTCCTTCGCCCCGCCCTCGTCGTTGGGGCCGCTGCCCTCGGACCTCAATGGTGCAGGGGTCTCCTTTTGCGCTCTCCTTTTGCGCTTGGAGGCGACGCACTGTCTCAAGTAGGAGATCAATGGTGTCCTGGCGGCCATTCCCTGCCATTGCTTGCTCGACGCGGTCCGAGAGGGACTGGGGGATTGCAGCCTGATCCGGCGCGGGCCCCGGCACCTGCGTCGGCTGCTGGCTGCGGTGGGGCAAGTGTTCGCCGCTGCCTCGGGCGCTCCCCGCTCTCCGCGGGTTTCTCGGACTTGGGAATCTCCACCGGCGGCGTGGCCCGCGGCGCCGCGCGCACAGGGGGCGGCTTCAATTTGTCAGCCACGTGCTCCTTCTTGACATGTGAGTACCCGCCGGCGGCCAAGTGGATCCTCATGGACCCAGCATGCCAGGTGTATCCATACTCCTCCTGCTTCTCGTCATACACCTTGGCCACTGCTCCCACCTCCCTCCTCCCTCCTCCTCCTCCTCCTCCTCCTCCTCCTCCTCCTCCTCCTCCTCGTCGTCTCCTCGTCTCCCTCCTCCCTCCTCCCTCCTCCCTCCTCTCTCCTCCTCGTCCTCCTCCTCCTCCTCCTCCTCCTCCAACTCGTCCTCCTCCTCCTCCTCCTCCTCCTCCTCCTCCTCGTCCTCGTCCTCTTTTTGACGTTGCTCGGACTTGGTGTGCTGGCACGAAGCGTTCAGGTAGGCAAAAAAACATTTAACGATGCGGTAAGCGTCCTCCTCCTCCTCCTTCTCCTCCTCCCTCTTCTTCCTCCTCTTCCTCCTCCTGCTCCTCCTTCTCCTCCTCCTCCTGCTCCTCTCCTCTCCTCCTCCTCCTCCTCCTCCCTCCTCCTCCTCCTCCTCCCTCCTCCTCCTCTCCTCCTCCTCCTCTCCTCCTCCTCCTCCTCCTCTCCCCTCCTCTCCCCTCCTCCTCCTCCTCTTCTTCTTTTTGTTTTTCCTCCTCCTCCTCCTGCTCCTGCTCCTGCTCCTCTCCTCCTCCTCCTCCTCCTCCTCCTCCTCCTCCTCCTTCCTCCTCCTCCTCCTCCTCCTCCTCCTCCTCCTCCTCCTCCTCCTCCTCCTTCCTTCCTCCTCCTCCTCCTCCTCTGCTCCCCCTCCCCCTCTTCCTTCTCCTCCTCCGCCTCCCCATCCTCCGCCCCCCAGGCTACGAGCAGCAAGCGTATACGCTTGCCCTTCAGCTTCAGCGAGACCGCCCGAAACTGAACGGCCGTTCAGGCCTTCGGGCGGGGGCAGATATTAGGAAGAGGCAAGAAGAGGACGAAGAGGAGAAGGGGAGGAGGAGGAGGAGGGGAGGAGGAGGAGGAGGAGGAGGAGGAGGAGGAGGAGGAGGAGGAGGAGGAGGAGGATACGGTACTATGCGACCACCGCAGCGGGCATCCGCCCTGGCCTCGCTCAGATGTGGCGAGAGCGCAGGGCGAGCATCGAAACACCCCCGCGCACCGATGGAGGAGCAGGGGGTGGGCGGATCAGGCAGGGACGGAGCGGGAGAAGGAGTGACGGAGACGAGGGCGAGGAGGGGATGTGGGAGGAGGAGGATAGGGGGGGAACGGGATGAGTTGTTTGGGGGATGAGGGAGGAAGGGGGGAGGAGGGGGAGGGGGAGGAAGGGGGGGGAACGATGGGGAAACAGAGGGAGGGACCACGGTGAGTAGGAGAGCGAGGAAGAAGTATTACAAACGGATGATATGCACGGGGAGAAGAGCGTGGACCCACCCAGCGCATCGCTCACGCCACGCGCGCTGCACCCTAGCCATGGCATTCACCAGCGAGTACTGCTGGTAGTGTCCATGGTTATTCTCCTGGATCGGTGAGCAGTGGATAGCGCCAGCAAGCGCAGGACACCGCAAGATCAATTCGCATCCTCGGCTTCCTGCCTCATCCTTTTCTGGTTATATCACCCTTCTTTCGCCTCCCCATACAGTCCCTCCCATCACAATCCCCATCCCCTCTGCTCCCCTGTCCTCCTCCTCCTCCTTCCCCCATCTCCCTCCTTCCCTTCCAACCCATTATCGTCCTCCTCTTCCTTCCTATTCCTCCTCTTCTTCCTCTTCATCATCCTCGCTTCTACTCGTGTCATCGTCTTCGTCGTCTATCCCGTCTCCAGGCATGTCCCCTTTCACGATCCCGTCCTCGACCCAGTCCTCGTCCTCCTGACACTCGTCCTCGCTCTCCTCGAACTCCTCCCGCCCGTTCCAATCCTCCTCAATCTCTTCATCCGTTTCATGTTCGCATCATTCTGGTTATTCTCACCACGGCAATCAGTATCATGCGATTCCGTGCTCAAGCTCCTCTCCAATCTCACCTTCCAGCTCTGCGAACATACCTTTTTGACGCTCATGTCTCATGCAGCTCCCCATCCAGCCCATCCTCTTGTGAGGATCACCTGTCAACAACGCTCTAACCTGAACTCATGAGCCTCTTGCGGCCCCCCCTCCCATTCTCTCCCACCTCCTAATCCTCCTACAATTACTCGCTCGCCGCGTTGTTGCCGTCGTCGTCCTCGTCCTCGTCGTCGTCGTCGTCCTCATCTCCTCATCATTATCCTTCTCCTCATCGGCTCGTCGTTGACGTCATCGTCCTCGTCCTCGTCGTCGTCGTCTTCCTCCTCCTCCTCCTCCAACTCCTCCTCCTCATCGGCTCGTCGTTGCCATCGTCGTCGTCGTCGTCTGGAGGCCACTTGCTGCACACACACGTAGAGGACCACCGCGCCTGGCCACACGGGGGCCGAGCTGGAGAGACACGTGGCCACGCGTGTAGCCAGCTCTCGCTGAAGCCTGCCTCGTCGTGTGCGCACGGGCATAGGTTCTCGCCGTCGGCGCTGCTGGCAGGAGCGAGAGCGGGGAGCACCAGGGTCTGGGCCCCCAGGGGCCCCCAGAACTGGACAGAAGCGGCGCGTTCTCCCGAAACGCCGTCCACGGCATCACCACTGTGATGCAAATCGACCGCAAATTCGGCCGGCGCCGATGCGTACCCAGCTCCCACCTCCACTTCCTCATCATCCTCCTCCTCATCTTTATCCTCCTTTCCTTTTCCTTATAGATAACTCCTCCCTGTCTCACCCCGAGGCTGGTCGAAAGGTCAGGCCGGGCGTTTCGCCTGAGACTTCTTTACCACTGATGATCCTGAAGCTGTAGAACTGGCAACAGTTTCACAGGTATAGGGCGGGCAGTTTTCAAAATGTGGCTCTCGCCTGGGCGCCGCGCACATTCGTCTTAAACAAGTGCACGGCCTTCACGGATTGAGGGCAGGCCGTTTTCAAAATGTGACTCTCGCCTAAGCGCCGCGCGCATTCGTATTAACTATTCGCAAGAGCTTTACGGATTTAGGACGGCTCCTTTTTTAAATGTGGCTCTCGCCTTAGCGCCGCGCACATCCTTCCTGAACAACTGCACGAAATTCTCGAATTGAAGGCGGGCAATTTTCATATGTGGCTATCGCTCTAGCGCCGCGTACAATTAGTGCAAACACCTGCAAGGAGTTTCACGGATTCTGGCCAGCGTGCCAAGGCGGGGAGTGGACAGACAAGGCGGCCGCGGAGGAGGGGGACGAAGAGGCCACCCAGGGAAGAATTCTCACCTGAGTGTGCTGGCGCGGCCGGCCCCGCCAGCGGGATCCATGGCAGCTGCCGGACCGCGGCGCCGGGGCACCCTCAGGCAATCCGTATGTGTACTTGCACGGGTTTGGGTTGCTGTCTCAGGGGAGTGAACTGTGGCTGCACGCGGTCTGCCTGGCTGCCTCCCTAATCGTCTGAGGCTCAGCCTCCTTTGTTCGCTCGGCCAGTTTCCGTCCCGTCGAATGCTAGACCTGGTGCGCCCGTCTTCCTACCTCATCCTACTCTTCCTCCCCCTCACCCTCCCCCTCCTCCTCCTCCTCCCCCTCCTCCTCCTCCTCCTCCTCCTCCTCCTCCTCCTCCTCATCCTCCTCCTCCTCCTCCTCCTCCCTCCCCTCCCCTCACCATTCCACCTCCTCCTACTCTTCCTGCTCCTCGGGCTCCTCCTGCTGCTGCTGCTTCTCCTCCCCCTCCTCCTTCTCGTTCTCCTCCTCCTCCTCCTCCTCCTCCTCCTCCTCCTCCTCCTCCTCCTCCTCCTCCTCCTCCTCCTCCTCCACGGGTAGGCAAGCGCGGCAGAGGAGCGTCCTCCTCGATGAATATCCGCAGGGTCTCGAGCCAGAGCTGATTGACGGAGGAGGAGTTCCTCATGTAGAACAGCCCAGTGTTGATGTCCACGTGGCGGCCCTGGCGAGACGACCCCGCCGCCGACATCGTGGCACCATGAGTAGGAGGCTGCGAACTCCGAGAGGCGACGGCGCAACCGCGCCTCGCGCGAAGCGTCGCACACGCTCATTCGCTTCGCATCTACGGCGCTGAACACGGCTGCGAACGAGCCGAAGTCACCGGTCGCTCCGTGGGGAGCTCCTCTGGGCCGCCCGTGTCACTTCGCGCATCGCACGCCGCTGTGCGCGACGCGTGGCCATCTTCGCGTCCTCGCGCCGCCCCCCAGACAAGTCATCCCGAGCCGTTTTCTGACGGCCCCGGGAGCCCGGCGAAGCCCCCGCCCCCAGGGGCAGAAAACGGGCAAAAACCTGCCGTCGCGATCTCTTGTTACGACACGGGGGTAGGGGGTAGGGGGAGGGGAGTAATTAGGGTGAGGGGGTGAGGGGGTAGGGGTGGGGGGGGAGGCTTCTTAGAGGGAGGCTGCTCCTTAGAAGGCGCCAGCCCTACATCTATTAGATAAGGCCCGCGCCCCCTGAGAAACAGGAGGAGAAGGAGGACGCCGAGGAGAAGAGGGAGGCGGCGGAGGAGAAGGAGGAAGAGGAGGAGAAGGATGGGTGAGGAAGAGAAGGAAGAGGAGGATGATGAAAAGGAGGGGGAGGAGGAAGAGGAGGAGGCAAAGGAGGAGGATGATAAGAAGGAGAAGAAGAAGAGGGATCATGATGAGGAGAAAGAAGGAAGTGGATAAAAAGAAGGAGAAGGATAATGATAATGTTATTGAGGATAAGAAGAAAAAGAAGGAGGAGGATAATGATAAGGAAACGTAAACGCATAAGTGGAAGTATAACTATAGATATAGAGTAGAAGTGTACATCGAAAGAGTGGAAGTAGTCGTCGTCGTCGTGGTCGTCGTCGTCGTCGTCGTCGTCGTCGTCGTCGTCGTCGTCGTCGTCGTAGTAGTAGTAGTAGTAGTAGTAGTAGTAGTAGTAGTAGTAGTAGTTTAGTAGTAGTAGTAGTAGTAGTAGTAGTAGTAGTAGTAGTAGTAGTAGTGTAGTAGTAGTAGTAGTAGTAGTAGTAGTAGTAGTTAGTAGTAGTAGTAGTAGTAGTAGTAGTAGTAGTAGTAGTAGTAGTAGTAGTAGTAGTAGTAGTAGTAGTCGTAGTAGTAGTAGT